GGCTGAAGATGCGACCTGTCCAAGTACACGAGCGATCCATGTTCGAGAAAAGAGCCCAATCGTAAAAGTACTCGTTGCTCGCTCGCAACCAGACGTACGGGTCCGACTCGTCGCCGGCGGCCTCCTTCAAGAGGTGGTACTCTGGGCGGCGCGGGCTGAAGAGCACGAAGCCAATGTGAAACCAATGCAACCCCTCGCTGAACGTGTACTCCTCGGCTGCGCCCCCCTCGTCGTCGGACGCGAAATCAAGCCATGTGGGCTGGTCGGCCTTGACCCCCTCCAGCCTCAGCACCAAGAAAGCATCCTTCAACAAGCCAATGTTATTCGACTTTCGGGGGCAGACCGACTTGATAAACTGCAGGACCTGGTTGCGCAGGCTCAGCACTGCCTTGCCCCCATCGCAACACACACACACACGCACAAACGCCGTGCGCCAGACACTTCCTGCACGCGTCCTGTCGCACAGGTTCTCGCCACTCTGGCTGGTCATCGTGCTGGATAACCCTGTTCTTGCGAGCCCAATCACGAAGGAGAACGCGGCCCATGTTGGAAGACCGGCGGTTCCCAGCTGCAAATGATGCGATGGCTTCCGCTTTCTCCGCCAAGTTGAACATCACCTCGAAGCTGCCCATGCTGCCCGATGGGAGCGGCTGCAGGGCTGGCTTGCAAGGGACAAGCGATGGACAATACTCAAACAAGCTCTGCAACTGGCCCGCGCTGTGCTGCGAGTCCCACTTGTCGAACTTATCTGCGACCACATCCCGCTTCAGCCGCCTGGGCGAACTGAACGTCCTCGCCGCAACCCGAATGGCCGACCTGTGCTGGTCGAACCCCTGCTGGCTGGTCAGCGGCGGCGCGGCGACGCGCCCAGGCAGGGCCAAGGCGAGCCTCGGCGCATCGTCGGCGCACGCCCTGTCCACCGCAACTTTCAGGACCCGCCGCACTCTGTGCCGTTGGACGTCTTGGGTTGTCGGGCCGAATGCCGCTCCGCCTGCGCGGTGGGCGCGGGTTGCCCTCTGGCCAGTCTCGCGGAGCTTCTCTTCGTCTTGCCCCTGCTGGTCTCGGCTCTGGCACTTCGCTGCTAGGGCCCCGATGTCTGGCCGCCCCTGAAGGCCAAGACTCTCCCTCCTCACGAAGCTCCTCCAAGCACCTCCCCCGCCGCGTCTCCTCTTCACCACCCTGGTCTTCACAACGCCCCTCGTCGCAGGGGTTCCTGCGCGAGGAGCCTTCCGAGCCCGATGGCGCTGGGCGAACGCGCCTGAGCCCGATGCCAATCGAATCCGAAACCTCTGACAAACAATCTGCGCGTTCACGTACTCGAAGCTAGCGCGGTGGGTGTGGACGCCCTGGGTGTCGACGTGCCTCTTGAAACTGCCGTGGTCGTTCTCCCCCTTGACGTTCTCCGCGTGGGCGATCTGGGCAACGGTCAGCAGCTTCGCCAAGCACTCTGCGCCGCCCAGCTCATCTCCAGGGCGAGCCTCAAAGATACGATGGGAAAACTCATCCCTGGTGCAGGCGGGGCGGCTCCGCAGCGCGGGGCCCGCCGCTGCGCCCCCGATCAATGTGAAGAGCGAAACTGGAAACTTATCCGCAGGTCGGGCGAGGTAGGAGTTCACCAAGCAACCCGATCGAGAAAACAACCTGAAACACAGGGCCCGAAAGCGCACAGTTCGCTGCTCCACTGGTGCAAAATCCCAACTTCTTGAAAACCACGCCTTCTCCAAATCACTGAAGAACTGCCGCTCAAAAACGAGGTCTGCGTACTGTGAAATCCTGAAAAGCCTCCTGTTGACGCCTGCGGGTCAAGCCGATGCGCAGCTTCTGCGCACCTCTGTTCGTGCTCCCAATCGCCCCCCGAGCTGCGCAGATACGCTGACATCAACTCCCTCCAAGGCTCCATGACGACCCGAATGGCAATCCGCGTGTGGAGCGGCTCTGCGTCGACCCACTCCTCGGCCGTGGACCGATGCTTCTCATTCTCCTCCTGCCATGCCCGTGCCCCTCCCGTGTCCGCGGGCTCTGCCTTGGCGTTGCCCGCGCCCGCGGGTTCCGCCGCCTCCGCCGCCGAGCCCGAGCCCCCGCCTGGCGGCCGCTGCTGATGGGCCGCGCCGCCGCCCGCACGGAGACCGCGAGGGCAATCGTCGGAGCCGAAACTGGCGAGGAACAGCTTGCGCGCTGGAAACAACAGACCATGGATGCACGCGCACAGGCCAATCTCGTCGATTGAAAGGTCTGCTCCTGTCCAGCGGTGTCTCGGGTAGGTCTTGAACGATCCCCCCAAGCAGACGAAATTCAAACAACGGATGACATTCTTCACCACGGAGCGGCGCAGCGCGTCGTCTATGGGACCCTCTCCACCCACGTACACAATGAGCGACTTGTGGTCGTGCCACGGCCCGTTCAACACGCTCTTGGCCAGCTGCGCTCTCTCGTAGGCATAGCTGCCCCTGCCCAAGAAAAGGCTGATCATATTCGACTGGTACTCTTCATCTAAAGCGGACGGCCTCCCTCTCTCAATTTACAAGCGCGTGCGGGCCACAGCGATGAAGGCCCGCCTGAACTTACTCATCGCAGCTGCTGAAGAGACGGACAAAGACAAATGAATCGCTGCTGTTATGTGATAGTCGACAAGGCTGTATGTTTTGCTGTGTCCCGTCGCAACCTTGTGCACATTGCAAGGCATGTGCATCATCAGCCAGTCATCCCCGCGATCTGCCCTGATACCCCGTTCAGTTTTGTAGTTCGATGCTGCTGCGTCCGTCGTGGCAACTCGTAGCTTTGTTTGATGATGGGCGGCGTCAATGAACGTGGCCGCCGTCTCGATCACAGCACGCTTGCAACAAGACGCCGTGCCGCGGTCTACAGCTTGAACCCATGTAAGTAAAGGACCAAACATGCTGACGAGTCGAGCTGTCTTGCCTTTGCCGATTTTGACCAAGCACGCCCAACCGTGCTCAGACCCGAAGAGGTGCGTGCGAGTAGACGTCTTCCCCGCAACTTCACACATAGACGAGCCTGTACCATTGCATAAATCCAATGTTTCATCATCGATCGCGGGCAACACCTCTCCATCTACAATCATATCACCGACGTGCTGTGTGGTGTCCCGCTGGCTCTGCTTTACATTCACTCTCATTTCCGTCGCATCGTACCTCGAGGTCTCGACGAATAACAGCAGCTCCGTGGCATCGTTCCTAAGACTTTCGTTGAATATCTGAAGCGCGCACCGGTCAGAATGGACGAGGGAGCTCGCAATAATGCACATCCTGTCGTGCACGTGGAACCGATCGACACCGAGGGCAACCGATAATGCTGTCTGCGACGTGATGTGTGGCTGTCGACCTGGATCTCAATACTTCTGGGAAATTTTGAATACGTCGGCATATTTCTCTATAGGACCTCCACCAGACCACAAGGAATGCAGTGCATCAAACGGCCGTCGAAGAGGAGCACGTGCATATGGCGTGGGCGTTGCTTCGATTGCTGCACTTTCGGCCACGCTGGGGTTCCAAAGCCGCTGTCTGTCTAGTGGTTCGTAAGGCACCAAAGACCATGATATGAGAGGGTGCTGATCCGTGTCATGGTCGGCGTGGTCAGGAGGGTGCTGATCCATCTCATGGTCGGGAGGGTGCTGATCCATCTCATGGTCGAGAGGGCCACTGTCCATACGCATGTCGTCATCATCGCTACTATGACCCAGGGCGAAATCCAGCCATGCAGATGACATTTCTTCGTGAAACAAGAAACTACCATATGGTAAGAAACGGTTTGAACCACAATGGGTAAAACGCCGTCGCTCTGTCAGCAGTATGTTTCATATGTTGTTGCGCACTGTTCTCCGTATTTATCGTTCTCATGCTTCTCGCCATCCCCCTCCACCTCCTTCCTCCTTTTTCGCCCGTATCCTCCCGCTCTAACCCGTGAAGACAGCGCCCGCGGGCATGTCCACGATCCGTGCGAAATATGTGCGTGTGCCGAAATGTGCGCGGGGGCGCTATGCACAACCTGTCCGAGGGGCCGTAGATGGAGCTACCTGTGGGGCGCGATCCATGTCAAGGGTATGCCGAATAGGCGGGGGGACGCTATGCGAACCCTGGCTCGGGGGCCGCAGGAGTGGAGTTCTCTGCGATGTACAACCCGTGTGAGAAGTAGTTGAAATCGCACCCCCCGCAAACATTGAAATCGCACCCCCCGCCTTTCGGTGGCTTTTTCCTCAGAGAAAAAACGCAACTATTTCTAACGCGCGCCCCAATTATTTGCACAACTATTTTCAATGTTTGCGGGGGGTGCGATTTCAACTACTTCCCCGACTCGAAACGCCACTCTGGGCGATTTCCCTTCTTGGGGCCCTGTAGCTCAAACCCACGTCTCAACGCCTGGGAGATCACCACCACATCGGACCCAGATCATCCCGCCCGATTCCCCTTATTTCCTCGGGGGGCAACGATAGGGGGAGACTGGCTCAGGAGGGGAACATAGAGAGCTTGAATCGGCAGTGCATCGCCGATACGTCGTCCATAGGCTGCCGATGGCGAAACCGCACGGTCCTGGGCGGGGAGGTGTATCAAGCACCATTTTGGCGACCAATGGGCGGTTGGGAGTCGATGCATCCCCCCCTGAGCCTACTCGCCCTTGGGGCCCTTACCGGTGTCCCTGGCTATCGGGCCATGACTCGGCTCTCCGGCGGCCATTCAGGGAGATCTGGGCACTCTTGGAACGCTCTCGGCGAGGCACAGCTGCTGACACGCACCCCGAGCCTGAAAAGCCGCCGAGAACCCACGAACACGTCCGAAAACCTCGGAACTCGAGCCTCCACGCCCCCTCGGAGCTCCACCTCGTATCACCTAGGGCCCTCAACGCTGCTCGAACCTCCATGCCCCCTCGGACCTCGATCTCGAACCTCCCAGGGCACTCAACGCTGTCCCGCACCCTTCCTCGCACCAGCGAGGTCCGCAGGAGGTGGGCGCCGCCGCCGTGGGGCATGGCGGGTGGCCACAGGCCTCGGGGGCGGTGTACGAGAGGGTGCCGATGTTCTCCATGGACCTCGGGCCGGGGACGCACAATCACCCCTCCTCCTCCTCATCCTCCTCCTCCTCCTCATCATCATCATCATCATCATCATCATCCTCTTCCTCCGCCGTTTCTTTTTTCTTCCTTCATTCCCTCCTTCCTTCCTTCCTCTCTCCGCCCCTTCTGTCCTCCTCCAACCTGCCGCTTCTCCTCCTTTTCCTTCCTCTTCCTCCTTCTCCTCTCCTCCTCCTCCTGCTCCTCCTCCCTCATTCCTTTCCCTTATAAACAACTTCTCCCTGTCGCACACCGAAGCCAATTTTAGGGCGGGCCAAGCGTTTCGTCTGAGACTTCCTCACCAATTACATATGACCCTGAAGCTTCAACATTGACACAGTTTCACAAATGGAGGGCGGGTGGTTTTCAAAATATGTCTCTCGCCTTAGCGCCACGCACATGCGTTTTCAGAAATGTCAAGAGCTTCGCGGATTGAAGGCGGGTTGTCTTCACAATGTGGCTCTCGCTATGGGGCCGCGCGCATTCGCTTTATAAAAGTACAAGAATTTCACGGATTGGGGTTGGAATGTGGCTCTCACCTTCGCGCCGTGTACAGTCGCTTGAAAAATAAAAGAATTTAGCGAATTGAGGGCAAGGCGTTTCCAAACTGCGGCTCTCATCTTAGCGCCACGAATATTCGTTTTTCAAATTTCGAAAAAGTTTCACGGATTGAGGGCGGTCCCTTATGTGGTTTTCGCCATAGCGCCGCGTGCAATAGCTTTGTTGCTTAAAAATGCAAGAGTTCAACGGATTCCCACCATCAACGTGCCAGAAATTGCGCTTTTGAAGGATTCAGGATTATGAGGGTGCAACAGTTACGCTGACTCGCGGTGTTGAAATGAAAGCACAAGAATGGCGTTCCGGTGAGATTCAGGATCGTCAAGACGCAACAGTCAAATTGATCCGTGGCGTTGGAATCCCGAGAATTTTTTTTGGCATGCTTCAACGTCTTCAAATGGTTGCCTTCCAACGAGGCAGTTCCCTCAGTGGAAATGAACCGTTGTAGGGGCCTGCTCGGAGGGAGGATTCATTCAAACATCCTTAATGATACCTGGGCTTGCACTGGTTCTCCTCCTCCTCCTCCTCCAACTCGGGTGCGGCCGACGGGGCCCGACACTGTCGACGAATGGCTCATGCCTGGGCTTGACGACGACGGCTTTGCAGTAGCCGACGCGTCCGAGCTGCTCGAAGACACGAGCGCAGATGTTCGTCTGAGAACGTGGCAGCGTGCGGCCCTCCACCCAGCGGCCGACAACCTGGTCAACGGCGCCGACATGATGCACGTGCAGCGGGAGCTCGGGCATGTCATGGCGAACGGTGATCTTGACCAGTGGGCGCAGCCCATCGTCGTGGTCAGCGGCGGGCAGCGGACCCGCGAGCGCCAGCAGCAGGCGGGACATGGCCCGGAGGCGCTCTGCCAGCGGTGCCATGCCGAGAAAACAATGTAGTTCCACCGAGTCTGAAGTTGCCCCGAGCAGCACGGGCCATGCAGATGTCATGCCAGTGAGTGTTTGGCCGCTCGCGCTCGAGCAGGCTGGGAGCAGCACCCTGCACCGTGGCTCCGCGGGGTGTGCCCCTCCGACCTGACCACGCCTATCTTCGACGAGAGCACGGCCGACCGGAGCCAGGCCTACGGCGAGCCTTGCGACGGAGCGCAGGTCCGAGCGCGACCGGGTGCTCGACGTGCTCGGCGACGGATCCGGCGGGCCACGTACAGTAGACCCTCGTCGGCGCCGAATCGGAGCAGCTGCAGGTGTTCCTCGGCCTGGAGGAAGGAGTCGTGGACGCCATCCGCCGTAATCACTGGCGGCCTGCGAAGGCCCGGGCAGCCTATACCCACAGCTGAACTGCTGGCGCTTGTGCTGCGCCTTGAGCGGTCGACAGGCACACATCCATTACACACAATTTGTCGCTCCCTGTTTGGCAGTTGGGATGCAAAGCGTGTCGTTTTGTGTATTGGAAGCAACGGTGAGTTGTAGGTGCTCTCACACCGCCCGTTCTGCAGGGGGATCGGTCCCAGCTGATGTTGAGATTGCTTGGGTCCCTAATCACCTGGACGATGATGCTGAGCGCGTTGAGCGCGAGGGTCTCCAATACATTGCTGTAGGCCACGCTTGCGCTGAGAAGGCGCGTGGGGGTGCGGCCGTGAGGGCCTCCCGATGCATTGCCGGCGGTGTGCCTCGTGCTGATGAAGGGGATGCGATCGCGGCCCTCGTGAGGCGTCGGGAACGCCGTGCGTTCACGAACACGATTTCCGAAGATCTCTGGAATTCGACTCGTGTCGAGCGCACCCGTCCGCCGACCCAAACGCGACATCAGCTAGCGCTGGGCCACAGCCAGCACTCCTGGGGAACAGTTCAGGGGCGCTGGCTTTGCGCCAAGTGATGGGCCCATTTTCCACCACCACTGCCACAAGTAGGATCTCCAACATCAACCACGCACACGCAGGCCTCCCTAGCCACCTGGGGGGGCGGCCTCTGCCGCGAACTCCACGAACACCGCGAACACAAGGCGGAGGAGCGGCAGCAGGGCGGAGCTGCACGACACGATGTGGTACACGACGGTGGCGGCCACCACAGTGAGGGGCAGGAACAAGAGGAACACGAACAAAACACACGAACAATGCAACCATCACATGTGCTTGCACTCCGCGTCGTGCACTTCCAAACGTTGATCGCTACGAGCATGAGAGCTGGTACCTTCAGCGAAGATGGACGATGTTCCGCAGAGCCGCACGGCCCGCTTGCGGCTGCCGAACTGCCGCGGGGAACGCCTCCGAACGCCAGTGGGCCCCGAGCTGCGGCAGGTGTCCCCGTGCGTGGACAGCGTGTCGTCGTCATCCCAGTCGTCGAAAGCAGGACAGCCCCACCCACAGGGCCATCTACTTATCGTGGGGGGTGGGGCCCCACGGTGGGAAACCTATGCGCACCCACGGCCTCCTTCTGGCAGAAGTCGAACCCCTCCTAGCTGGTCGTCGCTGACGGGGAGGCGGAGAAGAAGGAACCACCGCTGCAGTCCATGCGTGAGAAGTGCACGGTGGGGGCGACGGGGCCCTCGAGCTGCGGCCACACAACACCTGCGCCAGAACCAGCCTGGCGAACACCGTCAGGCGCAGCTAGTGGAGACCGCTCGCCGAGCCTCCGACTGCGCTGAACACGTCGAAGGCAACATAGGGCGGCCCTGACATTGTCGAGCTTGGCGGCCGAGTGCAACGCCGTATTGCGCCTGAGGACGTCGAGGTCGTCTGGCGTCTGCCCCGCCAGCATAGCAGCCAAAGCAGGCGCCGCTGCAAACAGCCTGTTAACCACCTCGTCCGACACGCCAGGCACACCCAGCGCCTGCGAGAGCTTGGTAAGCATGCCGTTGAGGCGGGTCACCTCGTCAGACAGCTTGATGATCGCCCTGTCTGCCGATGTGCGCGCCCAGGCACGGCGAGCCCTGCGATCGGCAGCTGGGCGATGAACGTCATGACGATCAGACACTGGGCGCGCATCACCCGCGCCCTCCCGCACCATTCCCTCAACACACAACGAGTGGAGCCTGCAACTTCAGGCTGGAGGGAACATGCCTATCCAGCTTGAGCAACGGTGCTGTCGCTCGCTCTTGAGCGACTTGGGCCAAAATGGTTACGGAGTGCCATAGGTATGATAGGGAGGAGGAAGAGGAGGAGGAGGAGGAGGAGGAGGAGGAGCAGGAGGAGGAGGAGGGGGACCTCCTCGTCCTCCCTTCTCCCCCGTCCTACATATGGTAGTGGTGGTGGGAACATGTCCCATCACCAAAACTTGTCCCGTCCGCCGAAGTCCTGGATGTCGCGGACACGCCGTGTGACCCCCCTCCTCCCCGCTTTCGGGAGGAGGTTTCGTTTTCCCGATGGAGTGCCTCGGCGGTCCAAGGACCCATCACCGCGGGCGGGGGGGACATGCACGGATCGCGCTGTAGGCATGCCTGGCCAGAGTTCTCTCTGTTGTTCTGCTCTGCCTGCGGCACATCGGCGTCGACAGACTGCAAGCATTTGTTCAAGCCGTGTCAGCCATCGCGTAATGGCAAGGCGAACCCTGCGCGCATTTGCCGAGGCGCTCACCCATGCCCCCAGGGGGCTCCGAAGGCCGTCGTTGGCGGCCCAGAGGCGGGATGTCGGGGTCGCCTGACCTGCAGGCGGAGGAGCCTCCTCGTAGGCGTAGGGAGGGGCACTGCGTCCCCAAGCTCCTCCTCCTCCTCCTCCTCCTCCTCCGCCTCCTCCTCCTCCGCCTCGTCCTCCTCCTCCTCCTCCTCCTCCAACTCCTTCCTCCTCTTCCCCCCCTCTCAGTCGTCCGCCTCGACTCTCCCTATCGACGGCACTCATGCCCATAACGGTGATCCCGCATACTTGATACCGAGGCGCGACCGAATCACGAAGGACCCGATCCCACAACCGCGCTCCGCGCGAGGCATCCGCGCAGGGCCGTCCTGGGACCACGGGATCGCGGCCGAGGAGTCCAGACCGCAAGGCTGCGGGTACGACCTGTCCTGCCCACGGCCTCGCGACGCAGGACCGTTGACGGCGACAGCAAACTTGCCGTCGCACGGACGTCCACTCCCCGTGCAGGTGTTGGTTTCGTGCGTTTCTCTTTGGCTCGATAATCCACGATGCTCCTCGATGGCCATCGCTGAGAAACAAAAAGCGCACGTCTGGGCGATGCAAAGCGAAAGGAAAACACTGCTGAGTCGAGCGCGGAAAAGACACTCTTGGAGATCCTCGTCGCCTGGCTTTTGTCGGCGGCGAGCAAGGGGGGAAGAAGGAACAAGCCTTCTCAGAAGGTGGCGCGACTTCTCAGAAACCCTCGCGCCTTCTGAGAAGTTTGCTGCGTCTTCGGGGATGGCTTAGAAAACTTCTGAGAAGACCATCGGACTTCCGAGCCTTCTGAGAAGGCCCGCTCCTTCTCACTTCCCCCCCAGGCTCGCCGCCGATCTTGGAGATCCTCGTCGTCTGGCTTTTGGGTCACACGTCGGGTCTCCAGCGGCCGTTCGGGACGCTTCGGGCACCCCCGGAGCGCGCGGTCGGCGAGGCGCAGCTGCTGGAAAGCATCCCGAGGCTGGAGAATCGCCGAGAACCGACGTAACCCCTCGAGAACCGACGAACACCACCGACGAGGTACCGCGACGTGCTCGTACATCTGGGCATTGGTGTCCCCAGAAAAGAAATTATCTGCATGCACACAAACTGTCGAAATTCCGCGTAGAGTTCCGCAAGTCAGTTTTTGATCGGGTAGTATCTGAGTGTTCGTCTTCTGCCCACGATCTCCTGGCGACCCCGCGCGCCTGAGGGGCAACGATAGGGGGGGACCAGCTCAGGGGGGGAGGGGCGGGGGGAACGATCGATTTGGAATCGGCGATACATTAGCGATAGGCCCCCGATAGCGAATCCGAACGCTCCTGGGCAAGGTGGGGCTATCGGGCCCCCACCAGAAAAAATATACGATTGGGGGTCGACATGTTCCCCCGTGAGCCTGTCCCCGCTGACGTTGCCCCTGGTCATCGGGTCATGACTCGGCTCTCCGGCGGCTGCTCGGGGCGATCTGGGCACCCCTGGAAGGCTCTCGGCGAGGCGCAGCTGCTGGAACGCACCCCGACGCTGGAAAGCCGCTGAGAGCCCACAAACACGTGCGAAAACCTCGGAGCTCGGACCTCCATGCCCCCGTCGAGCCCTCCAGCGATCATCCACCGACCCCCCCCCCTATCGTTGCCCCTGCCCCCGCGCCTCGGCTTGTCGTCGGTCAGGCGGCAGGACGTTCCGAAGTCGCACAGCTTCAGCACGTTCCCCTCGGCCGACGGCGAGAGGGGCCGAGGGGCCGCCGGACGGGGTGCACCGCGGCAGGGCACAAGGCCGCATCTCTCTGCTCGAGCTTCATTCCTCCATTTACCGAAGGAGAAACAACTGCACAAATGCGCGGCGGACATACAAACATATATGTATACCTATATATCCGCCGCCCCTGTCGGCGTGTGGAAGAGGCTGTTCCGTTTGAGCGAAATTGAGCAACATTGTAGTTGAGTCGGAGGGGAAACCCCTTCCCTTTGATCCCTTCCCCGCCTGGGGAAGGGCCCGGGGGGGGTCCTGGGGGGGGTCCCGGGGGGGTCCCGGGGAGGGGTCCCGGGGGGGTCCCGGGGCAGATACGACTCCCCGCCGGGCGGTTCGGGGGGCCCCCCCCAGAGGCACCCAAGATGCTCCAAGAAGCCTCAGCGAGAATACCAAAACGGCCTCGGCGAGGAAGCCAACATCATTGGTTTTACTAGGGTTTTGGCCCCATGTTGGCCTCGTGGGGGGGGGACGTTAATTAATGCTCCCCTCTTGTTTGATCGATCTCTTCCAAGATGGCCCCTGGAAGCGCCCAGGAGGCCCCAAGAGGTCCCAAGATGACCCCAAGATGGCCCCAAGAGGCCCCGAAGAGGCCCCCAGGAGGCCCCCCAGAGACCCCCAAGAGGCACCCAAAATGCTCCAAGAGGCCTCGGCGAGAATGCCAAATCATTGATTCTACTAAGGTTTTAGCCACATGTTGGCCTCATTTTTTTTGGGGGGGGGGCACTGATTGAGATCAAGAGGGCCTGGGAGAGTCCATAATGACCTACAAGATGGCTCAAGATATCCCAAGATGTACCATAATGACTTCCTGTTTGCTGCCCACTTACTTCCCTGATCGAGGCAATTCCTCTGGGCATCGTTTCTGGATGGGCTGATGGGGATTCGCGAAGCGTCAACAATTTTAGATACGGTGTCATTGGTAGATACGAATAGATATGTTTAGCTATGTTTAGATACGGTTCAATCTGGCGCCCATCGCTGGAAGACATGTACCAAAAATCGATACGAATTGATACGGATCCATGTCTCCTGCGCACGCCCACGATCGATCATTCTCGCCCCTCGCTCCTCTTGGATCTCCTCATCCGCCCTCCTCGGTGCTCACTTTCTCTTCTCTTCTTTCGCCACATCCTGAGTGGGGTTCTTGTTCCCCGCATCCTGAGTGGGGTTCTTGCTTTCCCAGAACACCCTCTCCTGTTCGTTATCCTCCTTCTCCTTCTCCCGCCTCCCCAGTATACCATACCAGTGCGTACCATACCAATACCACGCCTACCTACCATACCATACCTGCCACACCAAACCTACCATACCATACCCACAATACCGTACCAATCCTACTATACCAGACCATACTTACCAGATCATGCCATACTATGCCATACCGACCAAACCTACTATACCATACCTCTCCTCCTCCTCCTCCTCCTGCTCCTCCTCCTCCTCCTCCTGCTCCTCCTCCTCCTCCTCCTTCTGCTCCTCCTCTTCCTCCTCCTCCTGCTCCTCTTTGCTTTCCCCATCCTGGGGTACCCTGTTCCTACCCATTTCTTTCCTACGTGTCGTTTCGTCGTTGTTATCCATCCTACTTCTCGTCGTTTTTGTCGTCGTCGCTCGTCCCCTCACTCCTCATCGCTACGGCATCCCACTATCCTCGTCCTGTTGTTCATTGCTTCGACCATTATCATGGATCTTGTTCGTGCTGGGAGCACAGCCAACTGCATTCGTTCTGACACAAATTAGATACGAATAGATACGGCGCGGCACTGTCATTCTTTGAACAATAGATACGAGCATATATGTGTTCTAACACATGTATACTTGGAATGATTGAAATGACATGCTTGAAAATAGATACGTCCAAAAGTTTGGGATGTGACACGTCTCAAACTCTTAGATATGCTTGGACATAGATACGTTTAGATACGGCGGCGCTCCCGCGTAAGAGGGCGCGCATCTAAAATAGTGTCTATATTGTCGTCGCTGCAGAAAAATAAATGCGAGCGGCTTCTCGCCTGCGCCAGGGCGCGATCGCATCTAAACGCATCTGCTATGTTTAGATACGTCTTGCAGGGGGGGGTCGAATCGGTAGTGCCCCCCCCCCCCCCACATTTTGGAGGGGAAGGGGGAGGGGGTTCGAACCGGTAGTGGCCCCCCCCGGTTTTCTGGAGGGGGGGGGGTTCGAGCCGGTAGTGACCCCTCTCTGGTTTCCTGGGGGGGGGGAGGGTTCGAACGGGTAGTGACCCCCCCTTGGTTTTCCGTTTGGGGGGGGGGGGGGTTAGGGGTTAGGGGAGGGGGGGGGGGTCTTGCCGGGGGGAAGGAGGGGGGGGGAGGGTCCAGCAGGGGGAGGGGTTTTACGGGGAGGGGGGGGGGGCCCGGGTTCCGGAGGAAGAGGGGGGGGAATTTTCAACAGTAAAGCGGCGGTGGATCACTCTCTCTCTCGACGATCGAGGGGCGAGGCGTCCCCCCCCCGAACGTGGCCCCGGAGGAGCGAAGGCCGGTGGCCGCTCTGGCCTGTGGCCAACCGTCCTCGTCCACCAGCAGGAAATTCTCGGTCTTGATGGGGGGGGTCGTGTTCATGTGCTGGTACCCGTACTCTGGAGTGCCATCACTGAACGCTTCACCGCCCTCACGATGAAGCTGTTGATCTCAAAGAGGGGACCGGCATAGCACAGCTCGACGAAGAGGGAAGAGGATGAGGATATCGCTGTTGCTGTCGGTGGAGTTGCTGTTGGGATTCCCGTACCGCTGCATGTTGTGGCTGCCGTCGTATCGAATGTCTCTTGGTCTGTCGGCTCCAAATTCAGATAGCAACCGGCTCGGAGGCATTTTAGGAGCTTGGGTCGATCAGGATCTGCCTCGGCGAAGAAGTGCAGGTCGTGGTCGGCTATCGCAGCTTTGTTGTGGTGGGTGATGTGTCTGTTATACAATCCGATCAGTCGTCCGCGCTCGATATTATACTCTGCCAACTTTCCTTTCCAGGGGACTGAAAGGGGTCGGCCAGGGCATCTAGTTCTGGCTTTCTGAGTCCAACATATACCCAAGCGAGTTGATAGGTCCACCACTTCCTAGCATTTCTCGCACCTGAGAGTCTTGGTCTCGTAGTTCTTGAACTGCGTGTCAAAGTAGTGAAGTGTGGGGTCCTGCAAGGCAGCTCTGTTATGGAACAGTCGTTGTTCCTCTCTCTTCCCCAAGAATCGGTTGGAGATTGATGATAACATGGCTGTCTCTGCGTCCGTAAATGTCGTGAACTTCCGTAAAGTATTGCGATTTAACTTGTGTCTCGGAGATTCGCGTGGCACGTGTAAACCTGAGCCCGAGGGAGTGGAAGAAGAGGTCGCTGGAGAACTCGTGCTTCGTAGTCGACTCGAGGTCGGCGTGGTAGTTAGTGGAGTCGAGGCTGTCTGTGATGCAGCTCGTTGCGGTGGTGAAGCTGGTCGTGGTTGTTTGCCCCGTAATCTGTGCAGTAGCTTCGGAGGAGGTGATCCGTGGTCGCAACTCAAGTTACCTGTCCACGATGGTCGGGGACGAAAAGTCTTTGGAAATAATACGTTAGACCATGACTTCGCATCGGGTTCTGTTGCGAACAAGCTGGCCCAGTTGAACAATAGTGAATTCACCGCATCGGGGCGTCGTGTCCGTAGCCTTCCTTGAATACCTGTGCTCTTGGATAATCCTAGAGCCATGAGTTGTCTGCATTCTTTAATAGCTGGAGAGCCAGTATGTGACTGCTTCGTGGCTTTGTGGCATGACGTCGCGCTGGCCTTCTTTCCCACCTTGGTGCACAAGTTGTTTGTGGCAGCTGAGAACATCTTGGCTTGGGTACCTACCGAGACCAGACGACCGTCGCCCCCACGTCTAGCGACAAACTCACCCGTGGCGGCCACAAAATCCAGTAAGATAAGAATGTTTGCTGTCTGCGAGTTGGCTAAGGTCTCAAACTTCTCCGTCTCTGCCGTGTAGGTTGGGTTCGCATCTATCCAGGTAGTTGGCCAATACCAGAAGAGAGGTTCTATCTGCGATACATTCCAGATCCATTCGCACTTCGTGAAATTGATGCCCTCGAGGCTCGCGTTGGCGAGTGGTGGCTGGCTGTCTGTTGCCGAGCGTGGTTCCCACCAGTATTGGGGGAACCCTTCTCCTTGGTGGCGGTGGCTGGTGGGATGGCAGGAGGACTGACAGCGGGACATGCGGCAGGACATGCGGCAGGACATGCGGCAGCTTGGTGCTGCTTCCCCTCGCCTTTGCGAGGTGGGGCTAGGACGTTAACGCGCCCTTCGCACGGGTCCTCAGAATCGTTGTCAGTTCTGAGGGCCCGTATAATTGGCGTAGCCGTTGACCCTGTAGACCGTGTTGACCCAGGCGTCGAACTGACCTGTGGTGAAGTCGTCGTCGGCGTCGTCTTGGTACGGAGTCTTCTGCTTGTTGGTGGACTGGCAAGGAAAGCGAAGTCCCCATGTTGATGTGGTAGTGGTGGCAACTGATCCTGATCTTCTCCATTCATGCTGCCTCCCAGACCGAAGACGTCTTCCTCCTCCTCGTACAGATAGTCGGGAGCAATCTCAGGATGGTCGATCATGGCTTCTGATTGATTAAGAAATTATTGTATTGCTGCTCCACGATGTTTGCGGCCCCAGCGGGACACGCTCTCCGTGGCACGAGCTTGCATGATGTTCAGGAGGTAGCTTTGGACTCGCCTGCCGAGTTTAATTCTGTGCTGTGACTTCTCCACCCAGGCGAAAGGTAAAGCATGAGCTCGAGCTCCCTCCACTGCAAGTGTGTCCGCTGCCTCGTTGTGTAGTCTGTCGGAAGCGGCCTGACCGGTCTCTCCCTGTCGTTGTTCAGCAGTCTGGTGTGATTTCACTTTCTTGGTCTTGAAGTTCCCACTGCCTTTTGTCTCGATCGCGAATCGAGTTCTTCGCCAAAGATCAGCATGATAACGAAACTTATGAGGTCGTCCTTGCAT